AGACACAGGCTCTGAAATAACACTGGTCAACAGAAAATTAATCGAAGAAGTAAATTTAACAAGTCTAATTTATAAAATACCTAGGGTGAATTTAGTGGGCGCAAATAAACGGACATTGGCAACAATAAATGAAGGTATACGAGTAATGGTACGATTGAAAAAAAATATGTATGCACTTCAATGTGTAATAATGCCGAATATGTCACATGACATGATTGTAGGCGTTGACGAATTAACGGAAAAACATGTAGTGATCGACTTCAAAACCAATACGATGAAAATAACAAAGGAAAAAGAAGAAGAACAGGATAAGGAACAAGAGAAACAAATTACGGACGAATCAGAGAAAGAACAAACGGTGGAAATGAACCTGGTGACGAACAAAGGAAAAGGAAGAAAGAGGGGAAAAGGTCAGAAAAAGATCAAAGAAAAAAAAACCTGGGATTCCTCAAAAGAAGAGACGAGCCCAACAGAAGAAGAAACAAAGGAAATGAAAGAAAAGGAAAAGGATTCAGTTGAAAAGAACATATGGGATTCCTCAAAAGAAGAGACGAGCCCAACAGAAAAAAAAACAAAGGAAAATGAAGAGGACACAATGGAGACAGTGGTGTTTGAAGAAGACACGGAGTACACGGTGAATATGTGCGAAGAATTTGATGGGAGAGACAAAAAATTGATATGTGGAGAAGGCAAAGAAAATGATTTGCGTCTAATTTTAAGAGACTACGAAACGCTGATAAATGAGGAAAACCGAGTGGCCACAAAATACGAGCACTCATTTGAGGTGAAAAACTTGGGAAATTTTCGATCGAAGACTTATCCAATTCCTTATAAGTATCGGCAAGAAGTAAAGCAAGAAATCAAAAAAATGTTGGAAGATCAAATCATTGAGAGATGTGACTCACCCTATATTAACCCAATTGTGATAGTGAAGAAGAGCAGTGGAGAGTTAAGACTCTGTTTAGATGCCCGAAATATCAACCAACACACAGTATCACAATATGAATCACCGTTAAATATCGAGGCCATTTTTGGAAGAATCACGGGATCACATATTTTCTCAAAAATTGATCTAAAGCATAGTTTTTGGTTAATACCTTTGGCTGAAAAGTGTAGAAACTACACTGCCTTTTCAATTGATGGTATAGTATACCGATTTAAGGTAGTTCCGTTTGGATTACAAAGCGCTTGTGCAGCACTTGTACGAGCTTTGCATACCATTTTGAATCACCATGAAGAGTTCATCGTCCATTACATCGACGATTTATTAATTTTTTCACAAGATATGCAGAGTCATGTGGAACATATCAAAATAATTTTGAAAGAATTGGACACAGCGGGATTAAAACTAAACATTGAAAAATGTCAATTTTTTCAAAAGGAAGTGATTTATTTGGGTTTCAAACTTGACACCAAAACTGTAAGTCTAGCCGAGGACAGAGTAAAGCTCATCGACGAATACCCAAGACCAACAAATCTAAAAACATTGCGAGGGTTTCTCGGTACGATAAATTATTTCAAGAAATTAATTCCCGATTTAAGCCAAAAAGAAATTCCTTTAATAAAATTGTTAAAGAAAGGGACAAAATGGAATTGGAAAGAAGAACAGGAGGAAGCTTTCAAAATATTGAAACAAGAATTTGCTAAAGGAACGAAAATATATCACCCTATTTACAATTTGCCGTTTATACTCCGTACGGATGCGTCGATACAGAAATTTGCAGGAGTGTTGTCGCAAATACAAAACGGCCAAGAGGTTCCGATATGTTTTATATCTCGAGTGACTAAAACACATGAGAGAAAATACAGTGTCACCGAGTTGGAATTCGCCAGTGTACTATTTTGCGTAAACAAATTAAGGTTTTACTTATTGGGAGCTAAATTCACCATCGAAACGGATCATGCAGCATTGATACACATCATGAAGAATCGATTGGTAAATAACAGAATACACAGAGGCATTCTGCTCTTACAAGAGTATGATTTCGAATTCCGATACATCAAAGGGAAAGACAACATAATAGCTGACGCTTTAACACGGGACGAAGATACAGGAAAAAAAGAGACAATTACATTACATGTGGGATTGAATATATTGACACAAGCCGAAGGAATATTTTCATTAAATGAGATAAGGACCGACCAGGAAGGCCTAGAAGAAAGAGAAAAGAGAAGAGCGGAGCTAGAAAACGAGATATTTTTTAAGAGAATAGACGGAAAGGAATTATATTTAGTGACACCGACATTGGCAGAAAAAAATCATAAAGAAGCTACACGAGGAAAATGGACATATTGGCAGTAGAAAGGTATGGCTTGTGTTTAGGGAAAACTACATCAGTCGACATGATTACCGCATTGCAAAAGAGAGCACACAGAAATGCGAAGTATGCCAGAAATACAAGAGCAGGAATTTTAAAAACGAAAATATTGCAAAGAGCATTGTATCCCGGAACAACCTGGACATTATAGCCATCGACATGTTAAGCGATCTAATTGTGACCACCCAAAGGAACAAGCATATTCTGGTGATGGTGGATGTGTTCTCAAAATACGTGAAATTATATAGTTGCCGCACCACAAAAGGGGAAGAAATATTGAGAAAAATAGACAATTTCATCGCTACGGTAGGAACCCCAAGAAAAATTTTACTAGACAATGCAACGTACTTCCGAAATGATCGTTTCAAGGGACAGCTTAGAGAACGGGGAATCGAGACGAACTTTGTAAGCATCAGGCATCCCCAAAGTAATCCTTCTGAGCGATTTATACAAGAGGTAACGAAATTTCTTCGCATTGCAACGGATGGTCAACATCGGCGATGGGACAGAAAATTGGGAGAAATAGAGATGTACCTAAATTCCATGCCAAGTACAGTAACGAAAGAAACACCAGAATACATCATGAAAGGCGTCATGCCGATAAGACCGTGGGAAGATCCAGAACAAAGAGAGTATCGACAGGTTATAGAAACGGTTCAGAGGAGATTAAGAAGAAGCAATGAGAAATACATCCAGAGACAGGGTCATAATAGGAAACGAAGACCAGTAACTTTCCAAAAGGGTGACAAAGTAATGGTAAGAGCATTAAGAGTGTCAAATCTTCAGAGCGGTATTTGCGCAAAATTGATGCCTGTTTTCGAAGGGCCATACATAGTAAACAACGAAGATGGAGTAAACAGCTATGAGTTGAAACATATGGATTCTGAAAAGATCAGAGGTATTTATAATATCCATGATGTATATAAATATCACGAATGAAGATTTAAATTTGTATAAAGTAGATAGTAGGATAGGATAATACGTAGCATAAGTACAGCTAGCATACAGGAAGTGCGTTTTAGTTTGCCTCGAGAAAATTTAGTTGCATAGATTGATAAATTTTATCGATTACAAAGGCGGGGATTTGTTGTACTTTTGAATGTCTGTTAGCAATAAAAAACCGATATACAAATTTTATTACTTAAATAAAAATTAAAATTATTGATATTTCATAATGACACGGGCATATAAATTTTCAAACATCCTGTATAAGACAAAATATGTATTTTAAGTTGTTTCAAAGAATTGTTCATTAGGCCTCAGAGACAAGACTTTCAAATATTATCGATAAGAAATTTAAATAAGTCGGTTATTGTGGAATGGATTTACCCGTAATAAAAGTGTATATAGAAAGTGTTTAAACAATAGAAAGGGATGTGCGGTGGTTTTTCCCCCCGAAAGATTATATCGGTAAAAGTTTATTAACAAAAGACATTGAATTGAGAAACAGGTATCGTTTGTAGCTATTAGTAAGAAATATTTGTAAAGCAGATAGATTTAGCTAGAATAATTAAAGAATGTTGTTTTTCTGGAATTACCCGAATGACGTTTTATAGAGAGAGTTGGTTGGTAACGATATACGTGACAGAGGTAGAAGATTTTTATTGGTCAATTTTTGAATGCAAGGAGGGAGTGGTTTTAGCTATGAGATAGGAGAGAGGAAAGGAGTTAGTCAGTTTTCGTCGCCCAAGAAGGAAGGAGCTTTGTGGTTTGTGTTTGTTTGAAGTCCCGAAGACGTAATTTACCGGGTGTGTTTATTTGCTGTGTAAAAGCTGATCAGTGTGAGGAACGGGGTACAGAGAGATAGAAAAACCAAAGGGTATAAGAATATTAATATCAGACGAAGCCGGAAACATTTGAAGTTATAAACAGGCGCGGAGATTGGTTCAAAAGGAGGCTGCATAGAATTACACGAGTTGTTGGGTTGCAGATACAAGGACAGATAGGAGAAAGGTGTACGTCTTCTGGACCCAAAATAGGAGCAGAAGCAGAGAAAGGTTTTTTTTTATGGCGTGGCCATAGAATTGCAACGGCAGATAACGAAAGGTCAGTCAATTTTCATTAGAGCAGGAGTGTGGTTTTCATTTATTAATTAAATAAATTGAATAAATAATAGAGACAGTTAATTTTGCGATCATTTAAAAAAAAAAAATTATAAAGAGAGCTTAGTTATAACACATATTAAAAATCAGTGTAAAAATAACATTTGGGTCCATGATAGAAAACAACTTCTCATATATTTAAAGTATTGGATTGCAAATATTAAAGGATTGATTGTTATATAAAATTTCAATAAAATAAAGGACATCTCACATATACTTCAGTTTGAAATTCTGTGTATTTTATTCAGGTCATATTACCTATCCCAATTAGGAAGCCAATTGGAAAATATTTTGAATCCACGATCAAAGGTAAATAGTACAAGTTAAATAGCCTGAGATTGTAATTAATTAATGCTGATTTAGTGTGATTAATTGGAGATTAGATCATTTAATAAATATAGACAGGATCTTTTCTAAATAAGCAATAGAATACAATTTAAATAGCATAACAATATATATATATAATATATATATATATATATATATATATATATATATATATATATATATATATGAGTATGTAAGTTTTATAAGAAAAACAAGTATTTTGTAGTTAAATTATATATATTGTGTATCTTACCGCTAGTTTCTAATTGGGCCGGCATATTGGCGAAATCTTGAGGCCAAAACCTCCTGTTATTGTTATGACTTTTCTTTTTCTTGTGACTGGGCGAATTGGTGGCGCTGTTGGTCTCAGAAGGCGTGGTTGCATCTAACATAGGTTGCAGTATTCTGCGCCTGGCGTTAATGAACCAATTATTGACTTGAAGCAGTGTGAGGTTCGTTTGGGCTGCTATATGGCGTTTTTCATCTTCTGTTGGGTATGGATGCTAAGAATAAGTCAATTACTTAGAATGGCAATAGTTTAAACGGTTTTAAAATTATGATACAATTTTTCTAAGTTATGTTCATTGGTTTTTTTTCTGTAATAATAATTTCAGTTACATGGCGTGACCTAGACTTCTTTCGTTCTAACCTTTCTATGAGATTGAAACATTAGGAAGAAATAAGTACATATTATGGTCTAAAGTACTAACAACGAATGTATTATTATAAAACTTTGATCGGGAAAGCAAGCAAGTAAAGCAATTAACTATTCGTATAATATCCATCCTCTTTTATTTGTCGTCGTCCCAGCCAAACTCATTTTTCAGATTTGCATTTAAGATAAGACGTTCCTACACCTGAGAGACTGAGTTAGACTAAAGCCTTAAAAAATTGGCTCCCAATGTAAGTTGGGGTTTTATCATTACACATTTGGTTGCAACTTTTTAAGGGTAGTTATATTGTTACAGACTAAAGCAGAAAAATATGTCCTTTCGTCAATTATGACCCTTGGAAAGGTGGAAAACCTCTCATATTGGCCAGCAAATACATTAACCTAGCCTGAGATTTTCTTTATTCCGTTTGCACCATCATTAATTTCTCAAGATTGTAATTTTGACATTCTACCACATAATTTGCCTAAAATTGCGACTTTTGCCCTTTTTGCATCTTTTTAAAACCTGTAGGTAACAAAATCCTTACCACAAGATGTTGAAACAACCACGACCTCATCACACTGGTCGCATGCTTGGGCAACACTCCCCTCTTCTGTTTTCTTCCACCTCTAGAATTAAAATCGCTATCACAGTCATCCGCCGAACCACCTGGGGTAGTTGGTGCGGGAGATAGAGGCCCCCCTGAACTTTCACTGGGTGCTACTGACGAACACAAATTGGCTCCGATCTGACCAAGAGGCGTCGAACCATGGATGATGAGATTCTCTTGTGGCGGGGGTGGCTGGGAAGGCGGTAGAGGTGGCGTGGGTCCGCTACTACCTCCATACGGGGGCATAGGGTAAGTGGATGAGGTATCTAGGGGGCGTTCTATCATCGCTGGATTGGGGAGGACCTAAAAAAATACCAAAAAGATTATTTGACGTAGTTGCAAAATTAAAATATTTCAGAAACAATTTCTTTGTATTTGCATGAATTGTTCCTGGAATTTTAATACACTGCCGATTTACAAAGTAGCGGTTCCAAGGTTTAGGCTGATCTATAATATAGTTTAATTTACAGAAATCTTTTCATAACAAAACATATTTAAGATTTTGGACATGTTCATTTTCAAGAACAGAAACGAATAAGCAAAATTATTATCGTAAATGTGTGTGTATGCTTCGCAAGTAGGTCTGAGAATAAAATAACAGCATTCTACGATCAATTAGGAGCCATACTTAGATATGTTTCATCATAGGAGAGAGAAATAGATCTTTCTTTGCAATGCAACATCTGATAAGTCGAAACTTCTTTCACGATGTGCAAAGATCCGGATATATAAGACCACAATACGACCAACAGTCGCGTATGGAAGCAAAACATGGACGATAACAAAAAGAGAAGTAAATAAATTGCTGGTATGGGTACGTAAAATTCTTCGAATGATATATGGCCCTTGCAGACACAGCGTGACAAACGAATGGAGGGGCAGATACAATAACGAGCTAGAGTCTCTATTCGGAAAAGAAAATCTAGTTAGATATATAAAGGCCAATAGACTCAGATGGGCAGGACATGTGATACGCAGTAACGACAATCGCCTTATAAACAATGTGTTCTGGGAAAGGCCAGATGGAAAAATGTCTGTAGGGCGGCCTTGAAAAAGGTGGAAAGATGCAGTCAGAGAAGATCTAGAGAAGATGGGAGTGCGACAATGGGAATTACTGGCACAGGACCGACAAACATGGAAGGCAATAGTAAACTAGGCAAAGAATCACGAAAAGTTGTAGCGCCATTGATGATGATGATAGGAGAGAGTCTTAATAGACGGAGATATAAGATTTCAATCAACATTCGCTTTACCTTCTTTTCTATGTGGGGTCGGCTTTACTAATTAGTTTTCAATCTCCGTTTCTACATTTCACATATCAACCCCCTTTACCGACTTGACCTGCCTGTATCCCTACATGTCTTAATGACCAAACCATCTTAAACTATGCTCTCTCATCTTGGCAATAATTGGTGCCATCCCTCTAGGCTTCCCCTAATAGACGCAATATTAATGTTATCCTTTTTTGTTAGTTACCTTTCAAGTATTTTTATTTCTGTCACAGCATTCCTCTTTCTCTTTAATGGCCCAGCATTCAGTTCTGTACATCATAGCTGATCCTATGGCAGCTTTTATTGAATTTTCCCTTCAGCTTAATAAGAATTTTTATGTCACACAACACACCACTCGCTTCCTTCATCCATTCATCTATCCAACTCTATAATTCTACTGCAGGCATCTCCATATATTTTTCCATTACTCTGTAAAACCGCTCCTAGATACTTGAAATGATTACTTTTCACAATCACTTCACCATATAAAGATATCATTTAATTTGTAGTAACTCGATCTTTAAATGAATATTCCACATACCCTGCTCTGAAGAGCTTGTATCCAGTGTTCCAGTTCTAAATCGCTTTCACTATTTCCTACTAACAATATTACTACTGTTATCCTACTGTTATCTGATTTTATATATATAATATATATATATATATATATATATATATATATATCCGGTTTTTTAGGCGTTACGCCCGTCCGGTAGGGATCTATAGAGGAGTATCACCAAGCCGCAAGCCCTTATCTCTTGCCGTACTGTTCCACCATAGGCCGATCAGATCCCAGCATATCCTAGTCTAAGCCGCAGATTCATCTAGAATTTTAAACTGCTGCGTTAGACTTTTTGTTTTCAGTACACCGAGCTGGGGCTCGAACCCACATCCACTGAACCATTCGACAGTGAAGCGAATGAGAGGCAGCCGCACAGCCCGCTGAGTAATCTGACCGACTGTTATCTGATTTAACACAAAAGAAACACAAATTATATAAAACGATATAACTGAAATAGACCATCTATGATGGTACGGAGCTGAATGCTTGGCAGTTAGAATGAAAGACGACGAACGAATGCATGCGGCTGCATTGAATAGATATATTAGGGGAATTCTAGGTGTGGTACATATTCATGCCAAAATGAGATAGCATGGTTAGCGTATGTTTAACGTGGAGAACTAAGGAGGAGTTTTGATCTCCTGGAAGGAGTAGGCGGAGAAGACCTGGTGGAAAACAAATACGCATGACTTATCTGTGAACGGGATTGCTATCTAGAAATGTAATTAAGAAAACTGACCTCGCCTGGGGAAAAAACAAAGAGAACGATGAATATCATTTATGGCCATTAAAGTAGGTGGCATCTTTATTAAATTATTAAAGATGGAAATGCAAACTATTCGCAACTTTTGTTTTTGAATCGATCCATCGGCTAAATCAGCAAATAAATATACTTTAAATTACTTACTGGTTGTGGAGGACTGATAGAATATTGCACTGGACTATTTGATGCCGACCCGCTTTCCGAATTGCCGTGTGACATCATGTTGTTATTATTTTCCATGCTGTTCATCAAGCCAGTTCCTAAAACATCTTTACACTCGATTACATCCTGGAACTATGAATTAATGAGTGACTTACCTTGTGGATAATCCGACCGCAATAGATTTTCCGATTGCATTTTTCCCTTTAGACATGTTATATACCTATTGCAGAAATCCTTACATAACTCTTGAACTTTTTCTAATTCTAATAGGTGTATCCTTAACACCTGTATTGCTTTTATCATCTGAAAAAAAAACCTTAATTAAATACTATAAATAAAAATATAAATAATAAGAAAATTTGTCAGTAAAAGAATGAGGACACGAAGGTGGAACAGCTTTCATTATTTTGAGTTCTATCGATTAAGTGAAAAAACAACAAAATTAAACAATGCTATCATCTAGAGATTACAATCTAGAGTCTAGAGATTAATGATATTATATGAGTCTATAGCAAAGTAAAATATATGGACAAGCTCCCATTTACACAGTGAGTGGTTAAAGTGGGAAATTGTGAAACCTACTTATTATAAATAAAAGAATAAATTGGTTTCAAATAAAACCAACTTCGGTGACATTTGCACTGTAAAATCAAAATGTAATTTCGCATTTTGAAACTACATGCTTTAAGTTACATAAAGCAAATTACTGAGAAATCACTAGAGTATAATAGACCATAATTTCTATGTCTGATTGCCTTAAAGAAAGTGTTTCAGATTCAATGTGTAAATCAGTGATTGACAGAGTAGGAATGAAAGATGTATTCGACCTTCTGTATAACAGAGAAGTTCCTCTAAATATTATACAAACTATCAATAATATCTACCAAAACAACAAAATGGAAGTCAGAATAGATGGACCACTTACAGAACCTATAGAAATAGGCAACGGAATAAGACAAGGGGATTCATTGGGCCCCGTGGTCTTCAATTTGATCATGCATGAAATCATCAAAACCGTTAACAAACGAAGAGGATACAGAATGGAAAACACAGAAATTAAAATACTCTGTTAAGCAGATGACGCAATATTGATAGCCCAAGATGAAGACTGGTCCACAGATTTAACGTATGAGCAAAAAAATCAAAAAAATTGATGGCATCAGTATTTAACAAGTAATGGAAATAAAATACCTGGGAATTACAGTGTCTAGCTATGGAGACCTGGACAAACAAGTGAGAGATCAAGTACAAAAAGCAAATACACTAGCAGAATGCCTTAATAATACTATTCTCGGGTCGGGTCTAAGAAACAAGACCCGACACAGACACAACGCAAAGTCTACTGGAAACGGCAGAGATGAGAGTACTGAATCGGCGAAAGTAGTATCGGACGACCGCGCAAAAGATGGAGTGATAAACTTCCATAGAGGTATTAATCCGCCAATGAACAAGCAGAATTGATTATAAAGGGACAAAAGAAGACGAATGCTTTAATTTTTTTTCGATTTCCCAACACTTTAGAAAAGTGGAGTTGCCCAGTTCTTGTGATGAATAATAATCTTTATATAAAATAATCTATTACGAAATTATTACTATAAGAAAAGAAGAGGATATAGAATGGAAGAAAAGGAAATAAGGATAAAAATGCTTCGCCGACGACGACATAATAACGCCGAAAATGAAGATGACCTATAAAGATTAATGTGACGCCGAGAAAGACGAAAGAATTCGAAGATACGGCGCTCATATACAACGTGGTGATCTCAACAGAGAAAACTAAAGCGATAGTGATATCAGCGGAACTGAGACGATGTAAACTAGTCGTAAGTAACAAAATAATAGAACAAGTGATGGAAACTGAATACTTGGGAATAAAACTGTAAAGCTACGATAAAGTGGAAGAACTACAAAAACAAGTGAACATGGCAAATAGAGCAGCAGTATGTCTCAACAACACAATCTGGAGAAACAAATACCTCACAACTGAAACGAAAACCAGGATATAGGTATAAATCAACAATAAGACCAATAATGACGTACACAGCGGAAACAAGAGCAGATACGGCGAAAACACAAAGACTGCTGGAAACAACAGAAATGAAAGTCTTACGAAAAATAACAAACCAAACTCTAAGAGACAGAGTAAGAAGTGAGGAAATACGAGCGAGATGTGGTACAGAGGAAATAAACGAGTGGACCAAAAGAAGAAAAGTGGAATGGAATCAACACATCGAAAGAATGACAGAAAATAGAATAGTACAAATAGCAAGAGACAAATCGCTAAATGGAAGAAGATCATTGAGACGACCGAGAAAAAGATGGTCAATTGAGGCTAAAAAACCGAAGTAAAACAGGCATTAAGCCTATTTATAAAGTAGGAAGAAGAAGAAGATTATTATAAGAATTAATTATTTTAGGTTTCGAATCCATGCTTTTACACCTAGATCTATTCGTTTCACTATCAATATTACTGAATGAAAATAGCGCAAGAGAGGGACATTTGAAGAAAAATGTAGGGCTAGATTTTACAGTTCCTAACTGTCGCTCCATTTCGTTTCCAATCTTTGGGAAAGGTCAAAATATAATAAAAACCACAAACATACATGTATTTTCTTGACATACAATTTTTTTTGGCCTAATTAATAAATCAAACAACTATTCAGGCCTTGAACAGACTTTGAGTAAAGTTGGGATTCTTGGACGATAACAAGTGGTGTCAATTAGTACCAAGACATTCATTAAGAAATATTAGAAACGTTTGCAGCATGTTAATAAGGAATTAATTGGCCGAAACAGGACCGGGTCTAGGTAAGCATTACTAATCATTTTCACAGAAAGATAAATTAATATGGTGGTAGAGAATCAACGGAGGTTTAGATATATTAATATATACTGAAGGAACATTTAGTAGCACTAACGAAGCGCCTAATAATTAAAATATTAATTATACTGCTAGAAACTGTTGAATATGAAGTACGACTATTAAAGTTATATATTGGATGTAAATTTTTTACATCCACGTTTCACGTTATCCTTATCTATCCTACACAACGGTTTTCTCAGATCAAATCTTTCCGTGAGCTATGACGTAAGAATTGTAGTTTACGCATTTTAATGTAACCGGTAAATTATTTGTAGCTCCTTGGTAGATGCAAGCTTCATATACCTGGGCAGAGAGCTAAACAGTCAGCTAGACCACTCAAAAGAAATTAGAAGACGTATTGAAAGCCATCTGGCTTCATGAACATGCGTAAAATGCTCTGTAACCCCAAGCTATCAATCACAATAAGGTTAAGAACACTAAAGTGTTATGTGTGGTCTCTACTACTATATGGCTGTGAGACCTGGACATTAAAAACAGTATGACGTCAACAAACTGAATTCATTCGAAATGTGGATGTACCGCCGAATGCTAAGAATAAGCTGGACCAGCAAAACTACAAATGAAGAGGTACTGGAAATAATGAACACACGACCTCATCTGGTTAATACAATCAAAATTAGAAAGACGTCATATCTAGGACACATATATAATTTCGCGATAAAAGGATTCGACAACCTCAAGGATTTTGGTTCTATCGGTAGTAATACTTCCATATTTGTTTTTTATTTTGTACATATTTTTGTTGCCTATGTTGTTCGTATTACGCCTCAAAACTTTTAAACTTTTGTTTTCTTGAATTATTTTGGTTATTTCTCTTGTATTGTTTTCTCTTATGTCTGTTTCGATTCACCGGTGGATATCTTTATTTAATATCTTTATTGTTGTGTAGTTGGATCCGTGTTTTTCCGTCAGCTGTCTTCTTTTACCTATTAGCTCTTTGGTATTTTGGCTCATATAATATTCATATACTCCATTCGCTTAGCTCGGGCATATTTTGACAGATTCATTGTCGGAAACCTACAACACAACAATTCCTACTTCTCAGTATTAATAGCTCAACTATACTACTATTGTAGACTTCTTTCTTTGAAAAAAGAAGAATTATTCTAAATAGTGGAAGTGCATACTAAACCCATCAAATTTTGGGTAGTATATATTTAAAAAAATATATCTTAGTTGTTATAATTTAACATAACTATTTATTATATGGTGCAGATAAATAAATATTGATTGTCGGTAATTCGCAAAGTTCTATTTTATTTACAATTTAGTTTGTTTACTATTAATATTGGCTATGAGTACGTGTGCTTGGTTGTCTAGTAATTTCCCGTCACTTTTAGTCTGTCAAAAAGTAACTAACTTCGCAAAAAAATAATTACTAAATTCACTAGGCCATTCGGACTGGGAATAGCGAACCGAGTATAAAATAACATAGCAAACCATCCAGTGTTAACAATGACCAAAGAACCATATCAAAAACATGCAACGTCAAATTATAAGAATACACATTTGGAAGAGCAGCTAAATTGACAACAATATTAAAAAACGAAACTATCTTGGGCTAAAACAAGATTTATTGAATCTTCTAAAAAAAAATACAATTGCAAAACAAACACTAACGACATAATAATCTAGTATTAGTACTGATTTATAAATTCCAGCTATGAAAAAAAATGCTCAAATGAAACTTATTATCGAACGATTCTGGTCAAAAGTTATGTATTGTATGTTGGATGCTGACTTAAAAGATAAAAAAAACGTGATGCGACACTCCGGCAGTGAACGAGGAGGGGAAACATAGCTTTCTTATCGTCATAGTATTATCTATTCTCTTGAATTACATTATACAAAAGATACAATAGGTTTATGGTTTCTAAAGTAAGAAAGTCTGAGATTCAATTTTTTCTAAATATCTTGAAAAACCTGTCTGCAACATCTAACAAGAAACACGCATGGGACTGCGTTTACTACTCCACGTACTGTATGGTCGCATGATCCACGTCTCCATCCGCAGCATGCGATGAGAAATTTATGCTGACAATATTTATAATGATTTAAAGATATCACCAGTCACTGAAGTCATCTACCAACTTAAACCAAAACGAGATCAAATAACAAGAACAATTTCCAAACATTTACTTTGTCAATATATCTTCTAGAAAACAATGAACAAAACTTTAAAGGCAATCAATTCTTAATTAAATATAAATTTTATTATCAATATTAACTTAAACACAGATAATGTAACTGCATACAGAGAGTGAGTCACTGGACCGACTCTCTTTCATGTAACCGTCACTTTTATTATCTACTCTTATCCTTATTGTGAATGTTGTTGCATTTAATATATTGCCTAATATACATCAAACAAAAAACAGTATTTTTTAATAATTAATCTATTCATTCCATGATATCTAGA